TAATTAGGATGGGTCGTTGTGGTAGCTGATCGACTTTAAGTTTTTAGATTGAGACAAACAAAAGGCACACAGTCATAGCACAGCCATAGATAAAATTGCCATCAATTCGTCAGGAAAGCCATCAGATTTCAAATACCAGTTGATTATGTTGTTTAGTGATGTGAATTTCAAGGAAAATACGTTTTGGGCGATAAATTTACTCGTTTGACATTTGAAAATGCTTGATTACCCTTGATTGTAATTAGATTGTGGTACATTATTTGGTGGTAAAGTAGGGCGCCTTCTTCCTGGGGGATTAGCAAATACATTTGGTTGGTTGCCGTGGAAGTAATTGCTGGTTTGTAGAAGTCTTTTCAGGGTTGATTCTTTTATGTTACTTATTTGATTATAATGAATATAATTGGCGTTCCGTCTTTGATAATTCGTAGGATTTAATAGCGGAGATGCATCAAAATTCATTCTAGGATTGTTTTTGCTGTTTGTATTTTGCAATAGATCGTTGATAAATTCAATATTGTTAGAAAGTCGGACTCACCAGCAAAAGGAACCATATTTTTCCGGTTCCTAATCCCGTTGATCTGTTGTCATTGAATCGCACGAGCAATCAAATGAAGTCTCAAGTTAGTCTGGCATTTCTTGTTGTGTTTTGAGGTTTTTTTTCAACATTGTAAATTCTAATATATAAATTTAATTTTTAATTGTATTGTTTTTTTTGGTTAGCTTAGTGTATTAACATATTGTTTCATCTTGCTTTGCTGTTGTCGCGACGTTTGTTTGTGTTCATTACCACTAATGCTGCCTTTTTCACTTTGACAACAACTTTAAGGCATTTTTTAATAACTGAAATTAACATTAACGGTAAACAAATTTATAATATTTTCCTTTAAAATTGTTATACCTGGTGAAGTATATTTTATTGCATAATAAAGTAAAGTGTGTTTACAAATAAAAGATTATTAACCTGCTGGTTATGTGATAAATATTTTCATTTAAAATGTGAAGGAATTAACGTGTTAAGTTTACGTTTACCGTGTTTTCAAAGAGTCTAAAATATAAATAGCTGCAATGAAGAAGGACTTTAACGTAGTTTACACAAAAATATTAATTGCTTCTTGTGAAAACCTGATAATTTTAAACTACGCCATCCAAAAACCTGGGTACAATACACAAAGAGTCCTGCTGTAAATAGTCCGATTGAAATTCAATTTTCAGAAGTTATCCCGATTAATGCACCGATTCCGCCTACAATAGCCATATGTTCTTCAGAAAATGCTCCTTCTACCAGTAATATCGAATTCATCGTAGTTCCTTCTAAGATGAATTGTATTCGATTCTAGACTACATCCTAGTATTTTCGTGGATAACATCAGTAATTGCATCAAGTCTACAAAATTAAAATGTTATGTTAATTATAATATTTTAAAATATATCATATTTACCTTACGGCTAATATTTAAGCAAATCCATGTCGGCATTTTCTGAAACTTACCTTGCCGCATGGAAGACAGATTCCCATTTCTGATTGGTGCGTATACAATGGGTTTGTAAATATAAATGTTGACAATGAGGTGTTGTCATATGAAAAAAGTGAAAGAATTGTAAACATTTGAAAGCTTGAAAGCCTTCTTAATTCTACAATGAATTCTACTTATCTTTTTGATGTTTATATCAATGAAATTGCAAATATGTAGAAAACTACACACGAAGGCAAATTTCGTAAGTTTTTTGTAGATCAATACTAAAAAAGGTTTTATAATCAAATTATGTTATTTTGTGGGCAATGCGACGTAAATATTACTGTCACAAATTTCATGACAGAAATTTACAAAATGAATTCAAAAATTAAAGCATAAAATATTGTGTGAGTAGTTTTCTACACAAGGCTTAAATGAGTGTTAACACACTCTAAATTAATTTAAAAAAGTAAAAATACTTTAAGTTCGGGTAGGCCAAACTTTAAAACGTTGGGTAGAGAAAAAATTTTATAAAATGTATCTGAATTCAAGCGTCTTACACTTTAAACTACAAATACCAGTAAGATCGTTTGGATAATAATGTTAATCTTTTCAAAAAATTTTAAATTGGGTGAGGCCTATATATGGGACCATACTAAAATGGGATCCTCTATAGACAACTTTATACTTTAAGGATTGTCATCTACGAAATCTTCTTTGGGCTACACCAAAACGTCGACCTCTATATATTATGTTTCTCTACCGGAACTAGAACCCATTATGACCTACAAACACCAACATTGACTATCGGGAGGTACCGTTATATGGGGGCTATACAAAAACGTGGACCTGTACATACAATGTTTCGCCACGGGGGCTAGAACCCATTATGACCTAAAAATACCAAATTTTAGACAAATCCGTGGAAATATGTGACAAAAACCATCAATATACATAAGTACCGTTATATGGCGGCTATACCAAAACGTGGACCGATATTCAATACCAACCATCCTAGACACAATGCAAATTGTTCTGTCAAGTTTTAAAGTTCTACGTCAAACTAAAGCAAAGTCAAACGCCATAATTTTCACATTTTTTTAAATTTTTATTGAATGAAAGCAATTATGTCGGAAATAGCATCGAATTTTACAATAAGTTTAGATTTGTTCGAATTGGTCACCTTGTGCCGAATTATGGCCTTCAAACGGCCAATGAAACCGTCACACGCTGCCCGATTGTTGCTCTGCGATATTATGGCCCATTCCCGGCTTAAAGTGATCGACACTTTGGTATTTTTTAGTGCCAACCTTGCTTTCCAATTTACTCCAGACACAATAGTCCAACGGATTGGTATCCGGAGATTTTGGTGGCCATTGTACTCTGGAAATGAAGCGAGGAACCTTATTTTGTCATCATTCTTAGGTGACGCGTGCTGAGTGCGATGGTGCAGAGTCCTGTTGGAATGTCCAAAGTCTGCGGAAAAAATGTTTGCGTGCCCAAGGCTTTAATACACCCTCCAGAATATTTTCGCGATAATATTCGACATTTATTCTAATGCCACGGTCGATTAATACGAGTGGAGAGCGACCATCGTCTGTTATGGCGGCCCACACCATCACCATGGCCGGAGCTTGAGTTCTGGTGGCCAACCGAAGGTGCACATTTTCAGCTGACCTCTTTCGTAAGTAAACACGATCATTTTGGTTGTTTACAAACTGCTGGACAACGAATGTTTTCTAATCGAAAAAAACTAAATTCGGCGGTTCAACACTTTCTACCAAGGGAAGCAACTCTTTAGATCTGTTGAGTCTATTTTTTTTTTGTTTCGGTGCAAGTTCTGGCAATTTTTGGAATTTTAATGGCTTTATCCCGAGCTCATGTTGGTCTTCCAGCCAAAATAAAAATAAATCACAATATCACAATTGAATTCCATCGCGAAAAACTTTTTTTTCTGGAAAATTCTCACAAAAATGTTTTGAACGCTTGTAAACAATATAATGAGCTGTCACTGGAATAATTTCAACAGCTGTCGAACGAGTGGCTTAAAAATGCCGCATATATGGAGGTGCCTTATATGGGGGCCATACGAAAACGTTGACCTATGTGTACAATGTTCCGTCACCGGAGCTAGAACCCATCACGCACTACAAATATCAATTTTTTGAACAAATCCCCAAAAATGTGACTAAAACCATTAAAATACCGAATATAATGAGGCTATACTACAACGTGGACTGACATATCTCATTTTCAATAAGAGGCACAATACAAATTGTTGTTTTGAAGATTTTCTTTTACAATGTGGTTGTGGAGACATCGACTAAGAAAATTATAGAATATGCTAATCAATAATATATATACTTCATAGGGTATACGACGAACATTTAGGGATGTTACAAACGTAGTTACAAAGTTTATAAGCCCTACTTTGAAGGTGAAGGGTGTACCAAGCATGGCAATTAAAAAATAAAAACAAGTAAAAAAGCAGCTAAGCTCGGCCGGGCCGAACTTTTAATACCTTCAACCATTTTGAAGGAACTTGAAAAATTGCGTTAAAAAAAAAACGTTAATTTTGGGGTATAACCTCCATGATTCTATGGAGGGTATATTAGCTTTGTCATTAGGTTTGTATGTAGTATATATATCCTGGATCAGCGTAAAATTCTAAGACCATCTAGCGATGTCCGTCTGTCTGTTGCAATCACTCTATCTTTGCATACATGCATAGTTTACCAGTAGGCAGGTTAAGGTCGTAAATCGGCTATGTCGGTCCAGTTTTCGTATAGCCCCTATGTAATGGTAATGCGACATTAGCGACATTATTTACTGTAATTATTTCAAATTTCGTATTTAAAGTTCGTAATGGGTACTACAGCCTATGACAAAAGTTTTTGTATGCAGGTCCACGTCTTTGTATAGGCCCCCCATATAACGGTGCCTCCCGATATTCGTTATTGTGATCTTAATGAGTAATACAACCTATGGGCTAAAATCATCCAAATACCGAATATCGGGAAGTACCGTTGTATGGGGAATATTGTGGAACTTATATGTGGTGACGTTATATGTGGGCTATATGAGGACGTGGACCTACATATACAATTTTCCGCCATAGGTTGTAGTACCCATTACAAGCTTCAAATACGAAATTTTAAGCAATTTGAATAATGTCGATAAAATCATCAGAATAACGAATATGGGCTAAAATCGCCAAAAACCGAATATCGGGGGTACCGTTATATGGGGGCTCTACGATATTGTGGAACAATGTAGACGATCGATCTTCACCTGCCTGCAGACAAAAGACTGATCTATGCAAAATGTTAGCTTTCTATCTTAATTCGTTTTGACTCTAGCGTGATCAAGAATATATATACTTTGCTAGGTCTAAAATTATTATTTCGATGAAAGAAAAACTTAATATACCCTCCATAATACGTATGGTGGAGGGTATAAAAAGGATAAAACAGGATATAAAAATTTGAATTTGTTAACTGTATCGTTTAAACCTTTACATTTTATATTAACTAGTATAATACTTACACTATGCGAAATATTTCCGTAAATGGACTGTTTTTGTGTATAACAAAATTTAAGAGCTCCGACTCCAACAATCCGAATACTACTCGTAAGTCACAAATTTCGGAAACATCAAATTGCTTTGCTATTTCGGGATAGGCGTCGACGACTTCGCAATGAAAAGCGTGGCCTCCTTTCTTGACATATGGTAGAGCATCTTCCAAATGTGTGTACACAGGCAAATCCTTTGGGCCTCTGTGGGGAAGCACCTTTTTTTCAAGAAGTTTTCTTATCCTTGGCGTTTTGTTATACTGTAAAAAAACATAAAATTATTGATCCGTGAAAAATATAAAAAACCACCAACCAAATTTAGGCAGAAAATATATCTTCTATCTATCTTCTATATATATAAAAAGCGATTGTTGTTCGTTTGTAATGGAATCAGTTGAAAACGGCTGGATCGATTTCAATTATTTTTTGTACAAACGTTCATCATATCCCGAGTAAGGTTTTTAAAGAAAAAATATTGACCACGCCTACTGTTACGCTCACTATTTCGATTTATCTGAAATCCTTATATTTGCCAAAAATATAAGATAAGATATCGGTTTGAAAATAATTATATGAGGTACTGTTGACTTTCCATCCAACCCTAAGAATTTATTTGGGACAGAGTAACTGACCACGACTACTTTTTAATCTATATATATAACAAGTAAAAAACATTAAGTTCGGCCGGGCCAAACTTTTAATACCCTCCACCTTAGGGTAAAGGAAACATTAGAGTCCATTATGACATACATACAAGGTTGCCCATATTCGACGGACCCATCAGGCAACGCCATAACTTTTGACAGAGATGTCAAATCGCTTAATGACATACCGCATTTGAAGCGTCAGTCCAAGCAGATTTTTACCATGAACAAATACACGCCACGCGAGCGCTCTAAAATAGTTGAAATTTACATTCAACAGAAGAAGTCAATTGTGAAAAAAAATGTGAGAAGTGCGCCTTCTAAGAACACCATTAAGCGTTTATACGAAAAATTTTCAACTGGTAAGGCTCTTTCTAATCCGAAGAGGCCATATAAAAGTCGAACAAGGCGATCGGCAGAGAATATCGCTGCCGTACGAGCCAGTGTTGAGAGGTCCCCAAGAACATCCCAAAAACGCCGTTCTCAGCAGTTGGGCATGGCTCGGTCCACTTTACAACGGATTATTCGCATTGATTTGCATTTGTTCCCGTGCAAAATTCAATTGACGCAAGGAATGTTGCCTGCGGACAAGCCTCGTCGATTGGAATGGGCCCAAGGGTCCGTCGAATATGGGCAACCCTGCATACCAATTTTTAGACAAATTCATGGGAAAATTTGACAAAAATCAACAAAATACCGAATATCGGGAAATACGGCTATATAGGGGCTATACAAAAACGTGTACCTATACATACAGTGTTTCCCCAAAAGAGCTAGAACCCATTAAGACCAACAAATACCAATTTCTAGACAAATCCGCCAAGAAATGTGGTAAAAACTAGTAAAATGCCGAATAGCGGGAGGTACCGTTATATGTGGGCTATACCAAATCGTGGACCTATACATTCAATGTTTCGTCAAAGGAGCTAGAACCCATTATGACCAACAAATACCAATTTTCAGACAAATCCGTGAAAAATGTGGCAAAAATCATCAAAATACCGAATATCGGGAGGAACCGTTATATGGGGACTATACGAAAACGTGGACCTATAATTACAATGATTCGCCACACGAACTGGGACCCATTATGACCTACAACTACAAATTTTCAGAGAAAGTCGTGAAAATGTGTGTCAAAAATCATCAAAATACCGAATATCGGGAGGTACCGCTATATACCAAAACGTGGACCTATGCATACAATGTTTCCGTAAAAAAAGTGGCATAAATCATCAAAATATCGAATATCGGGAGGTACTATACCTAAACGTGGACCGACATGTCTCATTTTCAATACCAACCATCCTAAACACAATACAAATTGCTCTGCTAAATTTTGGCGCTCTACGTCAAATAATAATCGTGATTTCAACAGACAGACGGACAGACCAACAGCGGTACATCGTTAAATCCACTTAAAATTTTATGCTGATTATGAATATATATACTTTATGGGGTCTACGACGAATATATAAGGATGTTACAAACGGAATGACAAAGTTAATATACCCTCCTGTCCAAAGTGGAGGGTAAAAAATCGTTGGTAATCGAACCAGCTATGAACGGCTGGACGGATTTGAATACTCTTTTAATATGTTCGTTCTACCCCGAGTTTGTTTTTTTTTTGCAAAGAAAAAGTGACCACGCCTAATTTTACGCCCATTTTTTCGGTTACCTAAAATCCTAATATTTGCCAAACTAATGAAGATATTTGTTCCATAGTTAGTATATGACGTACTCTTGACTCTCCCTCCAACCCCAGGTATATAGTAACACATCACTTGAGAACTGCTTGGCCGAATTGACTCAAAGAAGAAAATCGCGGGAACTTTCTATTTTGATAAGGAATTTTGTATAGAATTGTTTCAGAATGCCTTTTGGAATTGAATATTCTTTTGAAAAAAGTGAGAAATACACAGAAATTAATTAATTAATTAATTGACATAGGATTTTGCACAAGCATGGTGTTCTAAAAGTTACGAATTCAAAATTACTTTTGATTTGGAAAATATTGCTAACACCTTTATAATACTGACAATTGCGGTTTGAAAATTTATTTAAATACGATGATAAAACGAATGTAAAGGGGTACTGATGAATAGGAAATAAATCATAAATTAGACTTTTCGTTTTTATACCCTACACCACATAGTGGTAAGGATATTATATCTTTGTGCATTTGTGTGTAACATGTAGAAGGAAACGAGATAGACCCATAGTTCCTTTTGGTGATCAGAATAGAATCACATTCTAAGTCGATTTATGAATGTCCATCCGTCCGTCTGTCTGTCTGTCCGTCTGTCCATGTATTTTTATAAACAAAATGCATGTCGCATTTATTATTCGATTGGGATGAAATTTTCTAAATAACATTTGTTTGGCTCAAGGACGAACCCTATTGAAATTGGTGAAAATCGGTCCAAATTTAGATATAGCTCCCATACATATGGCTAATATCAGTCCAAATGGTGTGAATTTCGATATTTCCGACCGAATTCAGCCTAGAAGCAAGTCCTTCAAATTTGGTGAAAATCGGTTCAGATTTAGCTATAGCTCCCATATATATGTTTCATCCGATTTTGGTGTTTAAGTCCTTCACATTCGTTATATACACTCCACAACACTGATATTTAGCACCAGATATCAGATACAGCCTAGCATTTCATAGATCAAATTTTATCAAGTTCGGTTAAGATTTGGATATAGCTCACATATATATCTTCATCCGAATTTTGATTTCTTGTGCACCAAATGGCTAATATCAGTCCAAATGGTGTGAATTTTGGCACTTCCTACCGAATTTAGCATAGAAATAAGTACTCTAAATTTGGTGAAAATCGGTTCAGATATAGCTCTAGCTCAACATATATGTTTCATCCGATGTGGTGTTTAAGTCCCTCGCTTTCGTAATATACACCCCACAAAAAATTATATTAGGTACCAGATATCAGATAATGTCCACTAATACGCGTTTTAAATTATATCAAGATCGGTCCAGTTTTGGATATAGCTCCCATATACATCTTCATCCCATTTGAGGTTTATGGTACGATTTTGGTACGTTGGACCGACTTCAACCCAGAAGTACATCAAATTTGGTGAAAATGGGTTAATACAGCTATAGTTTTTAAGTTTCTCACTTTCAGAACAGTGTGGCTTGTTTGTTCGGGATACCGTAGTATTTTGTTGTTGCAAAATGGTCAGGCTTTATCCCTTACCCCCTGGTAAACATTACCGTCGTTCTCTACTAATAAACAAACGTTGTTTTTATAAAAACAACAATAAAGGGATAAAGTCTGACCATTTTGCAACAACAAAATACTACGGTATCCCGAACAAACAAGCCACACTGTTTTATTAATAGACAAGGCACGGTCGACGAAGGGGTTTTTGTTGTAACAGACAAAACCAACTTACATGGTTATGCTACTTCGTTCAGGTTGAACGAAAGCATAACAAGTGGAGAAATATGTAAATGTTTATAAGTGTAGTCTGTAGTCAATAAAAGTATTAAAGTTGTATTTTTCTCATCCACCAATATCTGTTAGTATAACTTAATAATTCAAGCTGTAAACACTACACAAACTAATTCAAATGAAACCAGTAAAGAAAGTCTTCACGTCGGGCGGGGCCGACTTTATGATACCCTACACCAGTTTGCTAATTAAGTAGAGCTCCACATAACAATTAAAAGTTTTTATGGGAGAATTCAATCATACACGCTATGATTATAATTATAATTTAAAGTTCAAAAAAACTAAATATGCCGAAGCATTTGTATCTTTTAAATTCGGAATTGTATTGCCCATTTGGTGCACAATTAATTTGAAATCAGATAAAGATATATATGGGAGCTATATCCAAATCTGAACGAATCTCGATAAAATTTGGCAAAGATATTTCTGAGCTGTATTTGATATATTTCCCCAAATATTGTTGTTGCATAGTGCATATTACGGCGGCGGTGGACAAATATAAAAAATCGGATGAATAATATATATGGAAGCTATAGCTTTATCTGAACCGGTCTTCACCAAATTTGACATACTAGCTTCTAGACTCAATTCGGTCGTAAGTGCCAAATTCCATTCCATTTGGACAAATATTAGACGATTGGTGCACAATAAAAGGTAAATCGGACGAAGTTATATATATGGGAGATATATCCAAATCTGAACCGATCTCGATAAAATTTAGCAAATGTATTTCTGAGCTGTATTTGATATATTTCCCCAAATATTGTTGTTGCATAGTGCATATTACGGCGGCGGTGGACAAAAATAACAAATCGGATGAACAATATATATGGGAGCTATAGCTATATCTGAACCGATTTCGATCAAATTTGGCATACATATTTTCAGGCCTAATATGGGTGTATATGCAAAATTCCATACAATTCGGGCTGATATTACAGGTTTGGTGCACAATAAAAGGCAAATCGGACGAAGATATATATGGGAGCTATATCTAAATTTTGTCCGATTATCTCCAATTTCAATAGGGTTAGTCCTTGGGGCAAACAAAAGATCTTTGCAAAATTTCATCTGGATCGGGCAATAAATGCGACCTGTACTTTGTTTACAAAAATACATGGACAGACGGACGGACGG